GCGAACGCCTGGCACCACGAGGGGCGGGGCCAGCTCGCTGGGGCGGCGTGGCAGGCCGCGCCAGACGACGGGCTCGGGGACCACCCGCTGGGCCCCGTGGCGGCCGCGGTGTACCTGAGGGAGATCCTGACTTGCGAGGAGCGGCGGTGAGGAGAGGAGGGGGAGGAGGAGGGGAGGGGGAGGAGAAGATGGAGGAGGAGGAGAGGGTGCGTCGTAGTAGTAGTAGTAGTAGTAGTAGTAGTAGTAGTAGTAGTAGTAGTAGTAGTAGTAGTAGTAGTAGTAGTAGTAGTAGTAGTAGTAGTAGTAGTAGTAGTAGTAGTAGTAGTAGTAGTAGTAGTAGTAGTAGTAGTAGTAGTAGTAGTAGTAGTAGTAGTAGTAGTAGTAGTAGTAGTAGTAGTAGTAGTAGTAGTAGTTAGTAGTAGTAGTAGTAGTAGTAGTAGTAGTAGTAGTAGTAGTAGTAGTAGTAGTAGTAGTAGTAGTACAGTAGTAGTAGTCGTAGTAGTAGTAGTAGTAGTTAGTAGTAGTAGTCGTCGTAGTAGTAGTAGTAGTAGTAGTAGTAGTAGTGGTGGTGGTGGTGGTGGTGGTGGTGGTGGTGGTGGTGGTGGTGGTGGTGGTGGTAGTAGTAGTAGTAGTTAGTAGTAGTGTAGTAGTAGTAGTAGTAGTAGTAGTCGTAGTAGTAGTAGTAGTAGTAGTAGTAGTAGTAGTAGTAGTAGTAGTTAGTAGTAGTAGTAGTAGTAGTAGTAGTAGTAGTAGTAGTAGTAGTAGTAGTAGTAGTAGTCGTCGTCGTCGTCGTGTCGTCGTCGTCGTCGTAGTAGTAGTAGTAGTAGTAGTAGTAGTAGTAGTAGTAGTAGTAGTAGTAGTAGTAGTAGTAGTAGTAGTAGTAGTAGTAGTAGTAGTAGTAGTAGTAGTAGTAGTAGTAGTAGTAGTAGTCGTAGTCGTAGTCGTAGTCGTAGTCGTAGTCGTAGTCGTAATCGTAGTAGTCGTAGCAGTAGTAATAGTAGTAGTAGGAGCACTAGGAAGGGGAATAATGATAATCGCGTAAGACGCATCTGCGGTGCAATGCAGCCAAGGGTGGGTATTGTACAACAAGCGAAAAAAACAGCAAGGAACAACAACAGCTGCAGGAGGATGATGAGGAGGAGGAGGAGGAGGAGGAAGAGGAAGGATGATGTGGAGGGGGAGGAGGAGGGCCTTGCCTGGCCAGACATGTTGGGGGAAGCTGCCCTCCGCTTGCGTTTCCAGGAAGACGAGAGGAGGAGAAGGAGGAGGAGGGGGAGGAGGTGGAGGAGGAGGAGGAGGAGGAGGAGGAAAAGGAGGAGTGGACCAGGACCATGAGCAAGAGCAGGATGACGCGGGGAGGAACGGAAAGGAAAGCGAGGAGGAGGAGGAGAAGGAGAAGAAGGATGAAGAGCAGGAGGAGCAGGAGGAGAAGGGGGATGATAATTAGGGGGGGGGACGGGGAGAAGGAGGAGCGCCGCCGCTGCCACTTTCGCCGCCGCCGCCGCCGCCGCCGTCGTCGTCGTCGTCGTCGTCGTCGTCGTCGTCGTCGTCGTCGTCGCGTCGTCGTCGCTGCCGCCTGGTCGTGATCGTGGTTGTCGTGGTCTTCGTGGTCGTTGTCGTGCTGCTGTCGTGGTCGTGGTCGTGGTCAATGTCTTGGTCGTGGTCGTGATCGTGGTCGTGGTCTTGGTCGTGGTCGTGGTCTTGGTCATGGTTTTGGTCGTGATCGTGGTCGTGATCGTGGTTGTGGTCGTTGGCATTGTCCTTGTCGTGGTTGTGATCGTGGTCGTGGTGGTTGTTGTGGTCGTGGTCTTGGTCGTGGTCGTGATTGTGGTCGTGATCGTGGTCTTGGCCGTCGCCGTGGTCGTGGTCGTGGTCGTCGTGGTCGTTGTCGTGGTGGTGGTGGTGTTGGTGGTGGTCGTCGTCGTCTTCGCCGTCGCCGTCGCCGTCGCCGTCGCCGTCGCCATCGCCGTCGCAGTCGCGTTGTCCGCTGCCGTCGCTGTCGCCGTCGCCGTCCTCGGTGCGCAGAGGAGTCCCTCAGAGCCGCCTTCGAGCCCGTCCGGCGCGCGGCGTGGCGCCCATGCCCCGAGGGGCTGCGGGTGGTGGACCGCGGCGCATTCGCCCAGGCGGCGCGGCCCCCCGGCGGCGCCTTCGGCGGCGCCTTCGGCGGCGCCTTCGGCGGCGCCTTCGGCGGCGCCTTCGGCGGCGCCTTCGGCGGCCTTCGACGACCTTCGGTGGCCTTCGGTGGCCTTCGGCGCCCTTTCGCGGCCTTTGGCGCCTGTCGGCGCCGTCATCGCCGTCGGCGGCGGCCGCCAGCTGCCGCCGCCGCCGCCGCAGCTGTCGCGGCGTTCGGTGCCGCCGTCGCAGCTGGCGCGGCTGCACCTCGTCGACGGCGACGGCCGCCTTGGAGTTTTTGGGCGCTTCTGGAGGCTCTCGTGGGCACGGCAGGGCGCGGGCCGAAGAACTGGCCAGGATAGGCTGCCAGGATGGTCTCCACGAGGGG